CGCGTCCAGCGAGAGAGCGAGCGTGAGTGTGAGCGCGAGAGTGAGCATGCCTGTTTGTGTGTGTGTGTGCTGCCTGCTCCAACATTTTATACGTTTTAAAATTTTACTACAATGTCTCTTGTGTGTGAGTGTTGAAAGGGGGTGGGTGGGGGGAGGGGGTGGGCAGCAGCGTTCGTTTTGTGCGGCTCGGCTGCCGTTCGTTGGGCTCCATTGTCTGTATGTGTGCGTGTGCGTGTGCGTGTGTGTCTGTGCAGTATGCGTGCGCTTGTTTGGGGTGTGGCTTAAAATTTAAATTTAGCTTTCAAATGGCGTTGGCGTCGACTGCGACGTTGTGTGCGCGTCTGTGTGTGTATGCATATTATTTTATGATTGGCGCACACGCCTCAAAATACGAGCGACTATACGCGTATGCCTGTGTGTGTGTGTGTGCGTGTGTGTGTGTGTGTGTGTGTGTGTGTGTGTGTGTGCGGGCTATGTAAAAATATTTTAAAGCTGCGTCGCGGCGACGTCGACTGCAGCTTTGAGCAGTGCCCATTGTCGTCTGCCTCGTCGTTTGGCCCTTTGTTCTTCTTGTTCGTCTATGCTCTCGCATTTATTTGCCATTCATTTATGCACACATGTCCTGTATGCTGCTCGCTATGCAGACATCGTCCTGCCACTCCACCGCCTCCCCTCCACCCTCTACTCTCGACAAGGCTCCCCTCTCCGCGAGCGACTCTTGTGGCAATTCGTTTATTATTTTGATTTCTTTTCTATTTTATTTTATATAAATATATATATATTTATATTATTTATGATGTACATGTCCGAATTTATGACGTTGCAATTGTTGAAAAATGCTTTTATATAATTTTTATCAAACTTACAAATTACTTTGATTTCCTAATATTTTTTTAAAATTCAAATAAGTACTTTACAATTTTAATCCCAAAAAAACTGACCTCTTATCATTAAAATAGACAATATATATAAACATTTTCTTCTGTTGACTTTTCAACTCACAAATCATGAAAATTATTTCGAAAACCAAAAATATACGGTTTTGCCTGTGAAAAGACACAATTTTATACAGCAAATTATTCCCGGAAAACTTCCGAATAGACAACAAAAAGAGACCCAAACAAATTATAACGAAAAGTCAAATTTCAAGGTGACCAAAAACGAAAAAAAATAAATGTATCTTTCAGATACATGTAGTACATATAAAGCGAATATAAAAAACCGACTTGCAGCAGGTAAAAGATGCACAATTTTTTATGGCCAAAAAGAAAAACGAAATCATAAAAAATTGTTACAAAGTCATAAAAAGTCAAAAGTGCAGCTCGTCAGGTAAATGAAATTGTACAAAATTCATTTGTCCTGCCGCAGAATTTAACGCCCAAAGGCGCAACGCTTCCGTCACTCCGATAACCACCTAGAGGGTGCAGCAGGGGTCTCAGGCTACGCTGGGCCAACTGATAGATACCCTGTAATTCCAGCCGATTGGCAAGTGGGTGTGAGCGAGTGAGGCAAGAATTATATAAAAAATACTTAATGCATGTTATGCTCGATCTATGGCACAGTCAGCCACTGTAGTACAACTGTGGTCACATATATATGTGCACTTTCTTATAAAATTGAAAAAATCTCACAAGCTACAAGACATTCGCATTCCAAAGTCAAGAGTTGTGGCAGAAAACTTGGCATATGTTCAAACTATTTTCACCTTATTGCATTTGCCTGCTATTTGCCAATTACAGGGTATCTTTAAGTCACTTGGTGCTTGTGTTGTTTTTGCGCTGCTTGCGTTTTTTACGATGCCTGAGTCTCTGCGACTGTAAGTTGCGGCGATTTCCACGTAAATCATAAAAACCAAAAAACGCGTACAGCTACCTTTTGTGCGCCGCGCATACCCTGTACACCTATAAAGGATGCTGAGCAGATTGACTACATGTTAATTAGGCACGAAAGACTCGCCCTTTGGCTACTGGTTCTGACGCTCTCACGTTCACAAGGACACGCTAAAAAGCGGCCAGAGACAGAGCTCGAGCCTTTGACTTTTGACTCTTTCATTTGGCCTACGTTCATAAAATAAAATATGCTAACTATTTGGGCAACGTCCTTGCCCTTTGGCCTTTGGCCTCGTAAAACTCGCTCATTGCCGAGAATTGCTTAAGTCAATGTAGACAAAGATCATAAAGCCAGCGTTGCGTTCGTACGCATTTTATTGGGCCAGCCGGAAAATATTACAAAAAAAAAAAAGGGAAAAACTAAAACTTCAACTAAAAAAGTAAATGAAAATGAAAAGGAAAAGGAAATTCATATGCTCGGCTGCGGCTTAAACTAAACGCAACTAAAAGTGAAATCTCTAATGAAGCCATAAAGCGATTCGGGTCTGCGTTCATGAAACTATTCCGAGCTCCGAGTTCCGAGCTGCCCGAATCTTCTGATTTTAACTGCCCATAAATGTGGCAAGTGCGTCGAGAATTCTCAAGTGATTTCCTAACAGCGATTGGGATATGATTGGGAGAAACAAACAGATCCCAAATCATGAGAAAATCAAAGAAATGAATGAAAGCTTGAGCGAAACTGAGCAGGCCAAGCGGAAAGCGAAGGAAGATATAAAAGAATATAGATATATATATAAAATAATTAATTATACCCCACAAATATGTTAGTCAGTCAGAGGGGCGTATTAGTTTTATATATAGAGCGAATAATATTTAAATTTAATAAAATTCATTTCATTTTCCAAATATCTCTCTGATCAAAATTTTAGCAAAATTTTGTACTTGTATCTCAGCTACAAATTTATTTGTATTTATTTTTTATATTCGTGAAATTCGCAATTTTTTATTTATCTAAATATTTTTGTAATAAAAAAAACTAAGAAAAATATATCACATATTTTCTTAGCCCAGTTTTAAATTTCTCTCAGCATTTTCATTGCTTTCTTTTTATATATTTTTTTGCTACCCTCAAGTTTAAATATCTACCAAAAAAGAAAAAACTAACCCAGAATATTGTCTCATTAATAAACACTTCTTCTTCTCTTAAATCTAGCCTGGAGATTTAAGATTTATTTTTGTTTGCCTTTTACCTTAAAACTCGTGGGAAAACCCGGGCATAAAAATGGAAAATCTAGTCAAAAATTGCCAACAAACTCTCAAGAGCTGCGAAAATAAATCAAAAACACAAAAAATAAGAAAAAACGCAATTAAAAATATTTGGGAATCTGGGAAGAAAAAGTTGCCTAAAAAAACCACCCCGCGGAATGAAAAAAAAAAGAAGAAAATGTGCGCAAAGAAAAACAGAAATTTTCATGCTAAAAATTGCATTAAAAAAGAGCGGAAAACTGCAGTGGGGGTAGGTCGGAAAACGGGAAAAGAACTTGCAAACAAACTATATGCATATGCGATAAGAGGAGCGGTGAGGAGGGGCGAAGGGCGAGGGGCTACCTGAGAGAGCGAGAGAGAGTGTCCTGCCCAAGTGTCCTTGCGAGGGGTGTCAAATGCGTGAACCGTAACCGTCTTCTTTTCCAGCAACTGCCGCTCGTTACCTTTCTTTGTTTTCAGCCTTATTTCACTTCTTATTCTGTGTTTTCTTTTTTTTAAGGACATTTCCTTATCGAGCCACGCAGACAACGAGGCAATTGATTTGCCTCGTTTTTTACCCAAAAAGAAATAAAGGCAGCAACTGTATTTGTAAGGACATAAATAAAACTCTAGACGTCATTGAATGTCAACGTCGACTCGCTGCGGTGCTTCATCATGTTACCCAGACAAAGCCGAATCAGAAACTGTTATACGAGCTAGCCCCGGCCAACTGTAGGGTATGTAAAAAACCAAAACACAATTTATGCTGTAAAATGATGCACAGCATTTGCGAGGAAACGCGCCAGAAAACCAAATGCGAGCGCGATTCTTCGCCTTGCCCTTGCTCCACATTCAATTTTAGGCAAAAAAACCTTTCGTAACTCCGGACTCTCTAGTGCAATCTTTATGAAAATTTGAGGACTTGAATATGGCCTAGAAAAGTGTTTATATACCCAAGCACAAGGCTGTACATAAAAAACTGCAGTTCTTTTTCAATTCTGCGGCAAATAGGGTTAGGCATCCAAAAAGTGAAGTACTTTCAAGCTGTAGGAGCTATAGAAAAACCTAGATATCAAGTTTCATCTATCTAGCTCTCATAATTCTCGAGTTATGCGAAAAACCAAATTCCTGTTGCAACTTTTTCTTCTCCCAACTTTTCATTAGAAATGCCAAATTGAATTTTTGTGTTTGGGCTTAAGATGCTTAACAGCTGATTAGACCAAGGGACAAATTTAATTAACACACACACAAGCACTCGCTCAGGGGTTGAGTTCATGTCGAAAAAGGGCTGCTGAATTGCACCCTAATGCCAAATATTTGACAAATGCTCGAATATTCTGACAAAAATGTGATTTTTATCGCTAAAAATTATTTTTGATGGCATTTACGAGTACTGCAAAGTTGGACTTGGAATTGATTTGAATGTGCAACTTGTTAGCTTGAGTTCACAATTTTTAAAGCTATTTTGGCTTGGAGCATAAATAATGAGCTAATATATATTTGTATATTTTTATTAATAATTTTATAAATTTTTATGTATTTTTTTGATACATTTTATGCTAATGTAAAAAAATAATATGACAGTTCTTATGCAATTTAAATAGTTCTCTTGTAAGATATCAGATTAAATCCAGAGAGTTAACCTTAGTTACCTCGTTTTAAACTTAGTCTTTGGTCTAGTTAAAGCAACATACCAAATTTGTAAGCTCTAGCTCTTTGAATTCCCGAGTTCAATGGGTCGATTTTGAAAGTGGATGATGCTTTTGTTATTATAAGCCCAGATAATGGACTTTAATGTATAATCTGAGCGTAAGAATATGCGCTTGCTTTAAGCTTTTCCTATTGCTCTCACTCGTGCCTTCTCTTCGAATAATAAATTTCAACTGGTTCCTCGTCTTTAATCTTAAAGTCCTTGTTAGTACTCACCATTTTGTGGCTTGAAGCACATCTCCAAATCGTGCACATCCTTTGCGCCGGCTGCCTTGCCAAAATGTTCATGGAGCTCCGCCTGCGCCAGCTCTCGCGCCCGCGTCCTTTGATTCCGCTGTGACTCGACTTCGGATTTCATGTGAAAGGACGCACAATTGTTGTCAAGCGGCGCCTCGCGCCGGCCATTGTCCTTGGCGTCATTGTGCATGGTCGCTTCATCCTGTTCCATGTGTCGCTGATTAGCGCTGACATCGCGCATATTTGTGTCCTCGCTTTTGTCCACCTTATCAAATTTAAAGCCAGCTGCGAAGAGAGTTAGGAGAAGAGAGAGAGAGAGTGAGAAAAGCCATTTTGTTAGTTTTTTGTGCTTTGCATGAATTATGTGAGGGCCAATCAAAGCGCAGTCGTGTTATCTGCCCGAAAGGGTTGGCATTTACATAAGCCAGCATTATGAATGAGCCCCGCAACCCCCTCTCCATAGAAATCACAGCAACCCTTTTTTTACGACCGCCATTTGAATAAGCTGCGCATATCAAAAATAAACAACAACGCCTACCCCCTGTGCGTGTGATAAGCCCATAAAAAAGGGGGTTGATTTACATAATAAAAAACTGAGCTACGTGTGGATTTCATTTTAATATGCCCCCCCCCCCCCCTCGCTACTGTCTACCTCTCTGCCTCCCGGGGGACATGCGCAAACACCAGAAGCCTCAACTCGTACCCGGCCAAGGATTGGCTGAAGTGCGTCCGGAAAAGCTGTGTGTGAAAATGTGCAAATGATTTTCAGCGCCAAAAGGCGTTGAAGCGTTGCCTAAACGAACGGCAGGATATGTGCCTATGTGCTGGTATTTCTGAATTGCACTTGAGCAACAGCTCATATGGAAATAATTGTTCGATTTTGGCAGTTTTCAAGTGCGAAAATTGGCAGCTTGAGAGGGTCCTGTGGAGGGTACTGTGAGGGGTTTGTTAAGCAAAAAGAAGAAAGTTTGTCTGATGAGAAAAAACAAAGAAAAGTGAAAACTAATTATATTGTTTAGTCTATATCTAAGATTATCCAGAATTTTCCTATAAAATCTTTGGTATTATCGGCAAAATCTCTGAACTTGCGGTATTTTTGAGCAATTTCTCGCTTCGCTGAACGAAGAGACTCGACCGCAGCCTGTTGCGCAATCTGAGCTCATCGGAGATCTTCTGAAGGATGCGCCGCCAAGGATAATGCAACACGTTGCTTCCCCTGCCCGAAAAAGAGACACAAAAAAAAAACTGCAAACGAATTGCCGTAAGACAGAAGCAGAGATCAAGAAGTAGAAAACACAACAACAACAAGGTGAAAGAAACAAACAAAAGCGATGAAAATATTAGATGTTTTACCGTTTGACAGCAAAGGGGGAGTACGAGCTGAAGAATTGAAGAATTACGAGGAAGTGCCACCCAAAATCATGACCAGCCAGCAGCAGAGCGAGAGAGAGAGAGAGAGAGAGCGAGGGAGAGAGAGTGAGAGTGAGCGGCCATAAATCTGATGTCAGTTTTGGGTTTTAATTAAGTACCAAAAGACCTGAGCGCACATCAAAAGGCCAACCTGCAGCATCAAAATGAATGTCCTTTGGCCAGGTGTAAGTACACACACACACACACACACAGAGAGAGAGAGAGAGAGAGAGAGAGAGAATTGCAGTAGCTGCAGCGTGGGAAGCGCAGCTTGCGCAAGAACAATGCAAACCAAATGCACCAAGTGCCATTTTGGCATTGTCAGTCACAGAGTCCCGCTGCGTAACGGTCACAAAAAAAAAAAAAAAAAAAAAAAAAAACTAAACTAACTGTAACACACAGTGCGCATCAAAACGATGATCGCTCTCGCATTGTGATTGGCGATTTGTTTGCCCATTGACACTTGCTGCTATTGTCGGAGAGCGCAATTTATTGCATGCACATAGATCTTCGGCTCTCTTTTGTCAACACACACACACACACACACGAACACGCACGCACACGCACGCAATGCCCGCCCAATGCATGTCCCAGTCGTCAGGCCAAGCATAACATATGCACACACACACACACGCACACGCACACGCAGGCAAAAGCTCACAGCTTTGCCACTGAGCGGCGCTCATTTAAATAGCGGCAGTCGCTCTCGTGCTCTGTTTAATGCGCGTCCCACACGCAAGCAGCAGCAGCAGCAGCCTTTGCATATGCTGCCCTCCCGCTCCCCTCTGCCACCGCACACTCCACACACTGCCGTTCACTACGCAATTAGCGCATTTAATTTGTGAGATGCGTCGACGTCGACGTCGACTTCGCTACTTGCTCTGCCTCCCCCGCCCTCGCTCTCTCATTCGCTCTGTCTTTCGCGCGCGCATTACACGCCTTTCTACACTTCGCTGCTCGCTTGCATAAATTTCGTGCCAGGCACCTCTCTCTCTGCCTCGCTCTTTCGCTCTGCTCACGCGTTTTGCATGCGCAGGTGCAGCGGCTCGTGACGTTAGCCGTTGTTTTGTTGTTTTCTTTTTGTTGTATTTTGCTCATTTGCTTTGTGCGCGCTTCGTGCGTTTTGTAATTGCAGTTATTTGGCCCAAGCAGAGCGCAATTGAAATAAAAGCAGCGGCAAAAAGAGAGAATTGCGTAAATTCATATTAAATACATATATTTAGTATTTAATTTATTTTTTGTATATTTGATTAAATGCAAAAGGCTGGAAATTGAGTGAAAATGTGTAGAAAATGCAATAATTACGGGCTGCCCAATAGGAGAAGTGGCTGGGGAGGGGGGGAGGTGGGTTTAACAAAGTCGAAGGCGTTAACCCTGCTTTAAACTTGGCTTTATCTAATATGAACTGTGCATAAATTGAATTCAGATTGTATACAATTATCGTAATTGGCATTTAAACGCATTAAAAAAATAATATAATTAACGTCCGTTAACATTAGCTTCGCTCTCAATGTAATATGTGCATCTGTTTATATATTTTTGCAGTTACAATGTATACCCCATGGAACTCGGGAACTATAAGTGCTGCAGCTACGAAATTTGGTATGTAAATTTCTTAAAGCATATATTTACTATTTATATTGTGATTTATATAAAATGTACTATTATTTTTTTTGGGAACATTTTCCAACCCGTAACTTTTTTAATGGCTTTTCATTTTTCCAACAATTTCAAAGTGTTTTTTTTTTGTTTTGTTCCGAGAATAAACTCGTTTTTTATGCAGGCATCAATAATTTACGCCAAGAAAATACGTTACGAATTTTCAAGAGGTTAAAATGTCATTTAAGCGGATTTCGTGACTCGTTTTTTTTTTATATTTTTTCCCAAACATTTTTCAATCAATTAGTTTTTACCCGCTGAAAATTTGCGCGCAAAAATCGAAAAAAAAAAATTGAAAATCTAACGAAAAATTCTGTTGCAGCTGCCGATTTTTGTGCGCCTTGCCAGCCAAAAGGGGTGGGAATGGCCGAGGGAGGAGAGTCTAAACAATTTTCAACCCTATTTTGCATTCAGAGCTTCGCTTTAAAAGTGATAAGCAAAAAAGGGAATTACAAAATCGGAGGATCGTTAAAAATGGCTGGCAAGGTGGGCTAAAAAAAAAGGGGTGCGGTTTGAGTTTTGGCAATCGCATCCATAAAATGTATCTAATATATATATATATATGTAGCTGCCGATATCATTGAAAGTAAAAAAAAAAAAATAAAGCAAACGCGTGCTCAACGCACCTTTGACATATGTTTAAAAGAGTTTCCCCTACCCGTAGCCCGCGCCGCAGCCCGAAGAGCGTGCGGCGCATGCGCCCCGCGTTTTTGTTTCTTGTGTAACCCAATCCCCGCGTGTTAGGGTTACCTCTCCCTCCCTCCCTTTCCCTCTCTCTCTCTCTCTGCATCTCCCTCTACATTTCGCTCTAGAGTTTGTGATTTTTGTCGCTAAATGTGGCGGAACTTCGCTGGCGCATTTATCATCATTAAAGGCGTTCCATAGTCACAGCATCTTTTGGCTAGTGCCCCGCTACCCCCGCAACCCTTCTTTAGCCCAAATCCTTTGCATCCTTTCACTTTTGTGCTGTTGCCGCTGCTCTGCACGGAAAGGCTTGTGGCTGGCTGCGGGTCGCCAGCTGCCTTTCTGTTTGTATAGAAATCTAATTTGACATGCAAACATGCAGCAGTTGTTGACGGGGGGGTGGAGTGAGAGAGGGGGCAGGGGCAGGGGGGGGGGGTATAGTGAAAGGATTCTGTCAACAGCGAACGGACTTCCGTTTTGTCGGACAGCCCCCCCACCCTCCCCGCGCGCGCGTAACCCGAGTCGAGTGAAAGTAATTTGCGACAAATTTTCGATTTTTCCCATTTTCATTTCCATTTCCATTTCGACAAAGTGAAAGGCATGCAAATGTTTTTCAGCTGTTTTCCCGTTTTGTATTATTTTTATTTCTATTTCTGCCGCTGCTGCTGTTGCTTCTTCTCCTTCTTCTGCTTTGCGTTTTTCCTCAACATTTGTCTGGCTATGAGGAAAATGTATCTGCAAAAATTTGTTAACAAGCCAAATTAATGAGCCCTGAAACATGAAAATTATTATTTATATAACGTTTCCACTGGAAACATTGTTGTTGTTGTTGTTGCTCCATAAATTTAATTTAGATGCTTAGCCAAGATATGTGTTAAGTGCATAATTATATGTTGCCCAAGAGGAGGGGAATCTGGAGTGGAAGAGTGTGCTAAAAAGTGTTGGGAAAGCTAGCAAGAAATCTTACAAAGCTTCTCTAGAATTGCAACTAAAGCGAATACATTATATATTTCTTGAATAATATCTTTATTTAAGAACAGGTGAACTTAATATCATTTAGTTGAAAAGAAACTATTCAGACAAGGGTTTTGTTTTGAGATATTCGGTTGAAGGAGATATATCCGAACCCATAAAGTATATATATTCTAGATCAGCATCAAGAGCCGAGTTGTTAAAGCCTTTTGTCCTTCCTTCTGTCCGTCCTTCTGTCTATTTCTCTGCGAATTAGTTTCTCAGTCTTGAAGCTATTGTCTTGCAACTTTGCCAAGGTTCGTTTTTCGGTACATATATCGGAACAAGCCGGATCGGACTACTATAACATATAGCTGCCATAGAAAAGTTCGCTCACAAAGTCGGTTCTTGTATGAAAAACTTCTTTGTTTCTCAGTATATCTCATCCAAACTCGATATTTATAAGTTTCACTATGCTTCCAATATATATGCCAAGTCTTATCAACATCGAATAAACATGTCCTATAGCTGCCATAGGAACAATTGGTCGAAAATGAATTAATTCTATGAACAACTTTTTT